TGTCCTGAATGTGCTGGGAGAGAGGTTTCCTGTTGATTTAGTTTTGTTACCGTTGCGAGGGATGAAGGTGATTATCGGGATGGACTGGTTAGGGGCCAACGGGGCCATGATAAATTGCGAGCGCAAGTTGGTGAGCGTTCGAACCCCAAGTGGGGGAGAACTTGTTGTTCATAGAGAGAGGGCCTCGCAGGGACCAATCCTCTGTTCAGCTGCGAGAGCTAGGAGGTTTTTGCAGCAGGGTTGTACATGATTTTTGGAATATATCTCAGATACGAGGGTTGAGACTACGATGGATATGGGCAGTGTGCCGATGGTACATGAATTTCGGGATGTCTTTCCCGAGGAGTTACCTGGAGTGCCTCCGAAGAGGCAGGTGGAGTTTCACTTTGATTTAGTGTCGGGTGTCGCTCCGATAACAAAGGCACTGTATCGGCTAGCTCCACCCAAGATGCAGGAGCTGTCTACGCAACTTTAGGAGCTGCTAGATCGAGGGTTTATTCATCCAAGCAGTTCCCCGTGGGGAGCTCCGATTCTGTTCGTGAAAAAGAAGGAGGTCCCACATGATGTGTATTGACTATCAAGAGCTGAGCAAATTAACGGTGAAAAACCGTTATCCATTACCGAGGATCGATGATGTGTTCGATCAGCTGCAGGGTGCATCTTGGTTTTCCAAGATTGATCTTCGGTCAACATACCATCAGATGAGGATTCAGGATGAGGATATATCGAAGACAGCTTTCAGGACTCGGTATGGGCACTATGAGTTTGTGGTGATGCCATTTTGGCTCACCAATGCCCCAGCAGCGTCCATGGACCTCATGAACAGGGTGTGTAGACCGATGCTAGATCGGTCGGTGATTGTTTTATTGTTTATACTGATCACAAGAGTTTGAATTATTTTATGGATCAGCAGAACCTCAACATGCGACAGAGGAGATGGTTGGATGTGCTGAAAGATTATGACTGTGAGATCTTGTACCATCCAGGGAAGGCAATTTTTGATCTTTATTTACGATAGACGTTTAAATCTTCCATATCACTCTGAAACGTTACATGCTAGTTCTAATATCGTAGTCGTACGTTTAGAATCCTAAACACATAAGGTTTCAAAATCCGTTCGGCAATAGACCATAGATCCAAACAAACAATAGCATATAAGGCATCATTATAGCTATAACATAAAACATTTAGCACATAAAAGCATTTTAGGCATCCTCCTTAAAATATACTAGTGCTCGTGTCTAAAATATAGTAGACACTCATCTCACAATCATCACTTAGCATTCTAAGTTTACGTCTATAAATCCTACAAATTCCTAGTTCGCTTAAATAAATGCTTTGATACCAACTGTGACATCCCCATTTTCACGGCCATAAAAACTGATTTTGTTAATGCTTTTATATAAAAATTAGAGTAACTTTTTAAAGAAAGTGTTGCGGAATTTGTTCCCAAAAATATGATAAAGATTTTATCAAAGCATTTCCGAAAAAAATGTATTTCATTATATTAAAACCTCGGGATGTCATTGTCCATATAGATCAAAAGCATAAACAGAACAACATAGGCCTTACAACATTTATTTATATCTGCTGGCCTATAATCCATTATCCCTCATCAAGTCATCACAACTATGCTCTTGTGCCACTACCTGTAATACAAGAAACTGAGTGGGTCAGGCTTGGGAGCCTGGTGAGCACATAGGGTTTTCAACCCACAATAAATAATTTTATTAATATCATCAAATCAATCAATCCGATTACCCGTTCCCGTTATCCTGACTTTACGTCCCTAAAGCATCTATTATAAGGGACCTAGCCTAAGGATTTTCATTGGGGTGACAACACTGCTTAGGGGATTCCTCATCAATTTATGTCAAATAAGGCAACCATGTGGGGGATGGAGTACAGCTGGTGAACACGTAGTTCAAATAAACACCTACAGGTTACGAGCCTGCTAGCGTTCCACTAGACTGTCTAGAATAGTCTGCGGTCGTCATCTGTACTCCGCTAGATGACTGGATCATCGTTAACATCGAGGCCTCTCATCATTTTATTTCATCACACATCAAGTATTTCATCTAACCATGTTTTACCCAACATATTTGTAGATATAAAATACATGTACAGTTTAAATCATTTAAAACATATATAAATCATTCATCTAGCATAGATATCATGAATACAAATAATATGCACACATAGCACGTAATTTATATTAAATACTTCATATCTATGTGTAACATGAAAGTAACTATGCACTCACCTGTTAAAGTGGTGATTCCGAACTCGGACAGCTCTTTGCTTCTCAAAAATATAATTTCCTTTGACGAAACCTAGTATTATTACCACTAGATTTTAGTCTAATATTTACCGTGACTAATTATTAGTCTTAGTATTATTATTATTATATAAGCATTAAACAATACTTTCCAAGCACTATGTACAGACAGGGACCAAACATGAAACACCGGAGGGCAGGACCATTTTGGCATTATAGCACTTCTGAAATCCAACAACCCAGGCGGTCCTTCAAATCGGATGCCCCGTACCGCGAGTAGTTAAAAAGATATTATAACGATAGTTATATAAGTCATAATACTAGTCCAAATATTTATTATAAGTTCATAATAACAATACTAAATTTAAATATAAGCTATACTTAAAGTAGGGTAAGTGTATCTCACTTACAACGGGTTTTGCTAAAAACCGGGTTCTGGCGGGGCAAAACTTCCCGAGCCGAAAAGCTCTTTTTCTCGGAGCCGTCTGGCGCTCCGGGGATTTCTTCTAGCACTTAGAGGTTACTAGGGCTTTGGGAGATCTTAGAGAGAAGATAGAGAGAGAAGATAATGGCTTTGGTGTGGAAAAGAATGGAGACCCTCGCATGGTATTTATAGGGGAGCTGGCCTCATTGCGCAGGGCGCTCCTTCAGAGGAACGCAGTGCGTCCCAGTGCGAAATGTGTTCTTGCGTATGCAGCACGTACAAGGGGGCGCGTGTCCAAAATCTATTGGGGTGACGTGGACGATCCGAAGCCAAGTCCTTGCGAGTACGCGAGGCGCTCCGGTTTCCTACACGGGGGGCTCCCTGAGCAGCTTCACATTTCACACTCCCGACTTCGAAAATCCGTAACTTACGGATACGAGCTTCATTCTCAACGTTCTTTATATCCACGGGTAGGTGGAGACGTACTCTACAACTTTCTTTTAGACACTGTCGACTAATTTTGACTTTATTTTTTAAAGATATATTTTTAACAGGCCGAGATAGGAAAAGTCCGTTAAAAATTCATAACTTTGTCATATGACGTCCGTTTTCGTCTGTATTTTCATCGTTGAGCTCCTATCAACGAGATCTTCGATTCTCGTTTAGGTTGTGTCGGCTAAAAATCGGTCGATCTAATATTCGAACTCCGGGCTGCACACTGTTATGCCAAATCTTGGAAAAATCAAAACTTCCTCATACAAAGTCCGATTTGGGTGTTTTTTTATGCATTCTCTCAGTTTAACATATACTACGACTTTCATTTAGATTGCTAAGGCTAAAAAGTACTTTATCGTAAACTCACTTTTTACGTCACACAACGTCGTGCCGGTTTTGTCGCGAAACTTCGACAGATCATAACTTCTTCGTTAAAACTCGAATTTCGGCGTTCTTTATATCTCCAGAATCCTTATCACGACCACTACAACTTTCTTTATAGATATTGGGTTTATCTATATTTTCATTTTTGACGCTTATTTTTATTCTTAACTTATTATATTTTATAAATAAGTATAATGCACATAAAATCACATAATATTCAAGTAATTCCTCTTTATTACTTCAAAAATATGTTACAATGGTTGACCCTAACTATTACATCATCACACTAATGCTTAGCCTAGAAACACGGGCGTTACAGTACGAGCTTATTGGGAACTCACTTAAGACTATATTTGGTAAATCTAGGGTTTATGATCCTAAAGGCAAACCTGGTGATTCGAAAAAACAATCTTTGTTAAGTTTCAAAAATCAGGTGCATCGGGGTCTAGTTCCTTGGAAGTTCATTCCTTTAGCCATGACAAGTGTAGGAAATCGTTAGCCCGTATGTGTGTAAAAGACAATCAACCATTTAGTGTAGTTGACGATAAGGGATTTAGGGAGTTTGTTTCGGACTTGCAACCTCTATTTAAATTTCTAAGAAGGCGGATCATCGCAAGGGATTGTTTGAAGTTATACAAAGAAGAGGAGTCTCAACTTAAGGATGTTTTAAAAGATCGGGTCATCTCAATTACCACTGATACTTGGAGATTTGTACCAAACACTAATTACAGTTGTGTAACGGTACATTAAGTTGATGATGTGTGGGTTTTAAGGAAGAAAAATCTATTTTTTTGTAAAATTGCAAATCACAAAGGTGTAACTAGGGATGAGCATTGGCCGGGTTTGGTCGGTTTTAGGGTAAAACCGAATCCAACCCATAAATTTTGGTTTCTGGGTTTAAGCACCCGTTGGGTTCGGTTTTAAGTCGATTTCGGTTTCTAGGTTTATGGGTCGGTTTCATCGGTTTTGGGTTCAACCCATGGGTTTTGGGTTGTAACCCATTTTTTTAGCAAATCTTTGACTTAAAAAATGCAACAAATATAACAACCTAGATTAAAAAAAATCTTAAAATAAAAACAATTAAAACACCAACACAACATCAAAAGTATGTTTCTAAAAGTTTACAACAACCAAGCTTAACAAATAACAAGATTTAACAAGTTTTTAGAAACAAAAAACAAGTACCAAACAACGAAGTTTAAAACAACCAAATTGAAATTGTCATTTCAAGTTTACAACCAAGTTCAATCTTGAATCCTCAATCTTCATCCATGTGAATCACTTCATCATTTCCCAATTCATCTACAAACATAAAAAAAAGTTAGTATTAATTTATAAACTTATAAATTATAATTATGCAAAAATACTTACCAAGTTCTATTTTCATTAACTCTTGCAGTTCTACCACATATGTAGTCGTCATGTTTTTAAGTTGAGTATCAATTGGACTGGAACGTTCCACTCCTGTGTGCAAATCAGAGCTTCTGCAGTCGTCTCTGTAAGGGAGCTCCTAGTTGCATCAATCACCCTCCCACCAACACTAAAATCCGACTTTGATGCTACGCTAGAGATCGGCATTCCTAAAACATGCTTTGCCACTTGAAAAAGTACAGGAAACTTTATGGAATTAAGTTTCCACGAATTTAAAATCTGAAATTCCTCCACCTTCTTTTCCATTCCATCTGATAAATAAACTTCAACCTTTGTTTTATTAACCCCTTTCCCACGTTGTTCCAAAAACCTTGCAAAATCACCTTCCAAATAAACTCCATCCCAACCATCAAAATAACTAGTTGTTTGTATAGAAGATGATACATCCTTTGTCTTTTCACATGTTTCTCTCTGTGCTTTGTTCCTGAAGTGTTTAAACAACTCCATCAATGTCTTATTGACACGCTCCAAAAAAAAAATTGTTTTGAGAGAACCATTGCCATAAATCAACTCTAAGCAATACTCTAGATAGCACATCTAATTGTGGGGATCTAGAACCACCACAACATGAAGCAAAGAAATTCATATTATTAATGTTGTCGCAATATTTATCATACTTTTCTTTCATCGATATTGTCATTCGTTTCTTTTTCCCATCCTTGCTTCCACACATTTTGGTAATGCTTGCTTGCATCGTCACATGTTTAGTAAAAAAATAAATTGGCTATCACATACTTAGACCTATAAATCTTTTTTTGTTACATTGAAGAATAATAATCGATAAAAAACCTAACAAAATAATAAAAAAATATTAGATTCCAAATATTTTAGATTTCACATTTGAAGTAAAATATATAAAATAAAAATACCTAGCAACCTCACAATCGTCGGCATCGGGAGCCCCCACAAGTTTCTCATGTCTTCTTCTTTTTCTTGTACTACCATCATCCTTATTCCCACAGTAAGTTTTGAAACCAATATCAACCGCAATTAGCCTGTAGTAAAAATAAAAACAAATTAAAATGTAAGTATGTAAATTATAAGAAAATTAAATATAGCATACTTCATAAAATATCTATCAAACACAGCCTCATACTTTTCCACCGTCTCCAACATCAAAAACGTTGAATTCCATCTTGTTTCTACATCGAGTCATGGTTTCATAGGACATTTTATCTTCACTTTCTCAACACATTCTTTGAAAGTAGCAGACCTATCACCCGATGACCTCACATACTTTATAGCATTTTGGATCTTTTCGATGGAATCAAAATGCTCTTCTAACCCGTCTTTAACTAAAAGATTTATAATGTGAGCACAACACCTCAAATGCAAGTACTTGCAATCTAAAAAAGAATGAGGTCCCCTGAGCATGGTCGCTAGATACCTAATTGGCCCGTCATTAGAATAAGCATTATCCATAGTCACTATAAACACTTTCTCAATGCCCCAATTCTGTAAGCATGAATAAACCAGGTTTCCTATAGTCATATCATTGTGATTTGCAATTTTACAAAAATTTAGAATTTTCTTCCCTAAAACCCACTCATCATCAATCCAATGTGCCATTAGACAACTGTAATAAGTGTTTTGTACGGATGTCCAAGTATCGGTGGTAATTGAGACAACTTGATCTTTTAAAGCATCCTTAAGTTGAGACTCCTCTTCTTTGTATAATTCAAACAATCCCTTGCGACGGTCCACCTTCATGAAAATTTAAATAGAGGTTGCAAGTCCGATACAAACTCCCAAAATCCCTCATCGTCAACTACACTAAATGGTTGATTGTCTTTTACCCACATACGGGCTAACGATTTCCTACACTTGTCTTGGCTAAAGGAATGAACTTCCAAAGAACTAGCCCCTGATTCTCCTGATTTTTAAAATTGTTTTTTCAAATTATCGGGTTTGCCTTTAAGATCATAAACCGGAGAATTTACACTATAGAGTCTTAAGTGACTTCCCATTGAGCTCGTACCATTCCTCTTGGTGTGTGTATAGGTCAACCTAGGAAAATATGGGCATTTCACTTTGTTCAAAGTCTTATCTATCTTCCGTTTATGAAAATGCTTTCATACCCAAGAATCTTTTTGACAACCATCTTTATTTTCACCAACTTCTTCATCTTCCTCAACATTAGCAATTTGTGGATCCGGATTAGATTGTTTACTTCTACTTTCAGCCTCATCAACTATTTTTTGAGATCCTTCCATCTACATTGAACATAAATAACATATTCAAGATCAATTAAACACATTAAACTTAAAGTATTAAACAAAAAAAATGTGAGCATTGAACAATTATAACAGTGAAAACAAACACATGACATTATCAGATTATGAACAAAACATAAAAATAATAATAATAAAAAAATCAAATTATGGAAAAAAAATTTAATGAATTATGAACACACGAATAGAACATAAAAAAAAATCAAATTATCACACTATTTTGTAAACAGTATCGATTAGAATTTTTCCAACTTGTGGCATAAATTCCTCAAACAATATGTGCTACTTTAATTTTTAAAATGCTACTTAAAATCACATAACAATTTTTAATACCAGAAACATTATCCACCAGACCACCATAACAGTTTAGCAAAAATCTCATCACCGATAATCTACCAATAATATCAAAGCTTGATAATAAAATATACTATGTACCAACAATATCAAAACTTGTAATATCAAAACTTGTAATAATATACTATCTACCAATAATATCAAAGCTTGATAATAAAATATACTATGTACCAACAGTATCAAAACTTGTAATCAGCCTTACATATGTGATATGTGAAAAAACCGAAGAAAAAAAAAACTCAGGATGTTAAAAAAACTCATACAGATAATAGATGTACCTTCCTTCTCGGTTCCTTTTGGGTTCTCCTTCTGTCTTCTGCTAACGTTCACCACCAGCCACCGCTGCACCACCGGCCACCACAATGCACTCGTTATCGCGAAATTGGAAATTGCGACCAAGCAGGTTATTGCCAAAATGAAAATTGCGGCTGTGCCTTTGCCATTTGATGGCTAAAAATTGAGCTAGACTCGACTAAAGACAAATCGGCAATGCGAAATCGGAAGTTGCAAGGCAGAAAGACAACGAGATCGAGAGTGAAGGCTGAAGAGTTTAGGCTATGGGAGGTTTTTCACGCGTCTTGGGCTGAGGTGGCAGCCTCTCCCACGCGTGAACACCGCCCCCAAAGCCGGTGGGCTGCGCGTGACGTGGCTCCGGAGACGCGAGAAGACGGAGCTTCCTATTGGCTTGCTTCTTTTTTGACCGTTTGCCCCTTAATTTTGTTGGTTTTTCTTTTAATCATCGAAGTAGAAAAAAAAAAGGATATACCCGTTTTCCAGAAATTGGGTGAAGAAGACAACCAAATTGTAAACGGGTTTTAATGGAAGTTACAAATTTGGTCCCTGAGATTCTGTCATTTAATCATATTATACCCTTACACTTTTATTTGAATTAAGTTAAACCCTTAACTACATATAATTATGTTTATTTAATTTTAAAAATTAATAATATGTTTATATGATTTTTTAATTAGTAAAATGATTACTTAAGTTTATAATAATATTTTTTTTTATTTAATCTAATGTTTTAAATTTAAAAAATAAAAATATAAATAATGTGGAGTGGTAACCATTTCCAATGTTTAGTAGGTTGGTGGTGGGTTGGGTGTGAATGTGACGTGGCGTACATGTGGCAGCACTTTTCTGGTGGGATGGGTGTGACCACTCCCCATAGCCTTAGGACTTGCGACTTGAGGCTGAAGAGTGAAGAGTAAAGAAGAGAACGAGACGAGATATGTCTTGATTAGGTTTTTTTTCCGCTTTCTATTTTCCGAAGGGACAAAAACAAATAAATGGTATATATATTTTCTATTTTATTAAAATATATAAAAATTTTAATAATATAATATAGGACGGGTCAGTTTTAAGTCGGGTTCAACCCATCGGTTCCTATGGGTCGGTTTTAAGTACTAAAACCGAACCCATAACCCATTTTTCGGTTTTTAGAAATTAAAACCTAATCTCAACGGTTTGGGTTCAGTTTCGGTTTCTCGATTTTAGTTTTGTCGGTTTTGGTTCGTTTTCGTTTTTTCGGTTTCGGTTTTACATTAAATTAATGACATTAAAATAAAAATTAAAATAAAATTAACACAAATTATAAGGTCGCATATTTATTTAAATTAACGATTATAATTTTATATAACTAAAATATATCTTTTAATTAATAATTTATCTAAAATGATTAATTAATAATTTTGAGCTTTTAATATTAAAATTTAATTAATTTTGTAACCATAATTAGCACAAGTTATAAATTATAAACTAGTTAATAGATATAAATATACGTCGGAAAAACAACCGTGCAAGTAGAGAAAGCCAAGGAAATTAATATATCCCCATAAAGATAATATATATATATATATATATATATATATATATATATATATATATATATATATATACCCGTCAGTCAGCTTTGTAAAGTTTATCATTATTTTTTAAATAATTTTCAACCATTTACTCACACAGATCATCTAATAGGAAAAAAAGAATAGAAACATGACTAAGAAATTTCATTTGTAAAAGTTACGCTATCCTGCGTTATGGATGTTTGTAAACAAAGAAGGAAATTAAAAAGAATAAAATGATTCATCCAAGAATGATGATAAACAATTTTAAACCCACAGGCCACAACAAACATTCAAATCCACGGCGATTACTTTATGGTCAATGGTCAGTAAAAGAGAAGTTTCTAATGGATCTACAAAAAGACAAATCATAATAATTTCAAGTGGGTGAATCATTCAAGATGTGGGATCTCCAAGGGATCCCCACTTCAGATTGAGTCACCAAAGATGGAGAATAATCCTCGCCTTTACATGTTATTTCACGTCGTCTTCTTAACACCAAAATGGAACTATATCCCTACAAGGCGTATATATATATATATATATATATATATATATATATATATATATATATATATATATATATATATACACGCTTACTTATTTTGTTTTTATTAACTATTATGTGTCAGAATGTACAGGACCAACGGATTGAATTAATTAATGAACATGATTTTAGAGTGTATGATATTACAATAGGATAGCATGTACCATATAATCACACAAATTTTAGCAAAATAGTATTTTGGACAATTAACTACAGGAAATTTTCAGATTTTTAGGGATAATTAATTCTCCTAATTTTAAAAATCTTAATTTTTTTAATTAATTCAATTTTTTAATTAATTCAATTTTAATTGTAATGTAATTTGTAAACATAACCGATTTTATTCTGTCAGAATATATTTTTTTTTTGTAGAATTATGCTCTTTCAGAATTTTATTTTATTAGAATATTATTGAAGAATAACAAAATTCTTGAATCCGAGGTTGAAAAATAACAACCTTCTAATATATTCTTATACATCCGAACTTAAATACAAATTCATACATATTCTTACAGACTAAAAGTCTTATACATTTTAATATAAGTATACACATTCTAATAGAATATCAACAAAAAATGAATAAAATTCTTCAAAAATAAACAGCATTATTAAAATGTAAGTGTGATCAAACTTTATTCATTATTCAAGTTATTCCTATTAGGTATTCAACGCATTCTTCCATCCATTCCTATCACAAATACAACCAAAATTAATAATGGTTAAAAACATGTTATTTGCAATTAACTATCACTTTAAAATACATTCTGCCAGAATAAAACATTCTGCCAGAATACAAACGTTCTAAAAGAATGGATTTATATAAATAAGTTCTGACAGAATACAGACACATCCATTCACACCTCATACTTAACTTTCATATCATAATAGACTAATTTCTTCTAAAAAAAACAACACCAATTGGATTTTTTTATACATTACAAGAGAGAAAAAGTAAAAAAAACAAACAAACACTAATGGTATCCTACTGAGAATTACAAGGTTAATAATGCATAGATTCTTCAAGATCTTGATATATATTCTGGTAGAATACATAGAATATGGCAGAATACATGCGTGTTTTAGCAATATTTACTTGGAAATTTCATCCTTACCACAGACACAACTGGTCAAATATTTCAC